TTGGCTATGATGTGTGTGCGTTTGTGTGTATGTGTGTATGTGCGTGTGTGTGTGTGTGTGTGTGTGTGTATGTATGTATGTATTGTGTAAAGTGTTATTATTATGCACTCATACGCATATTCAAGAGTGCAGTTGATAAACGCGTGCATGGCGACTACCGCTGAACATAGCGTTAAATGACCGCATAACGTATTCGTTATAACAAAAGCAATAAAAATCGAGAGAAAAAAAACTAGTTCCGTTTAGATTGCAAAGTGCTTGGCTTTTATAAGATGTTTTGTTACAAGAAGAGGAAACAGTTTGTTTTTATTTTTTTTTTCACTGTAAAATTTTGCATTCACATATGAAATAATTGTTTGAAAAAAAATAAAAAATTTGGAAAAATTATTTTAATAAATTTTCCCAAATAATTAAAAACTCTTTACTGGAATTAATGATAGGTTTGTTTATGTTCAAGGCCACCTAGATGGAAAGCCAAAGGAATTACTGAACTTTACCCTACATTACTGCTCCATTACTAGCCATGCTAACTATTCCAGGGAAATTGGGATTAAGAAATTTCAAACTGTTATAAACCTTTTTTAGTTTCAGTCGCCACAAGAGTACCACTAGATCTGCTATAAGTGGGATAAACAACATTTTTCTTTAATCGCAAACTAGATATCCATTGTCGCATTTCGCTTTTGTTGATTTTAGGATTACAAATTTGGGATATATTATCCAGCTATGTGCTATCCATTCACGTCTTCTTGCCTGACTAAGTCCTTACATATTCTAAGGTCAAAGAGGTAAAAAATTTAAAACAGTGTTAATTGGAATTGCAATCCAGTATTTCCATATGGGCCGGAGACTTCTTCATCCTCATATTTTTGTCTGTCAACTACAATCAAGTACCAAATCTCTCTGCCAATTCTTATAAAATAGAAGGAAAATTCAAAGTTCCGTTGCGGGTTTGTCACGTTTTTCGGGCATGGAAGTCTTTCTTCAACATGAACCTCCAATACATCTATTCTTTGTTGAATGTATGATAAAGAAAAAAAGTCACAGCAATGCAGATTCAAGGCTTTTTAGCAATATTAGACCAAAAGGAGCGGATCAATCAATCTATGTTTTTCTAATCACTTTGAATTTTGATTTACGAACACCTCCTTGTGCAGAGTTGCACTTTTGCATATTGGAACAGAGTTGTAATATTCTATCCAGCAAAACTTGTGGCTTTTGTCATAACGCTCCAATTCGCTCCAATTTCGATAAGTTGA